TACTCAAGCTCTCAACTCTGGGAGCCGGGAAGCTTCGAATCCAGGATCCGAAAGTTCTGTTGGGGAATCGAGTAGAAATCAAACTTGGAAATGATGTAGAACCGAGGGCAACTTTGCCGCACGCGAACTAATGCTAACAAGCTCAGCGTTACATTAACCGCACGCGGCGGGGCCTTTGTCGCCCTTCTGCCACAAAGAAACGAGTCGGAAGTAGCGAAGCGGCCGCCTGCGCGGGGTCTTGTCCCGCGGCGGGGGTGGGGGGTGGATTCTGGAGGAGCAGCTCCCCGCGTCCTTACACCCCAAATCCTCTTGCGGGGCGCCATCGCCCCCTGGCGGAAAAGGCCCGAGTTGCAGGTTTGTTTGGCAATTCCATTCCCCAAAGGGAGAAACTAAGTCCCGCCCAGGTTGGCCTCCTTCTAGAATACACTCTCTTGCCCTTGGATTTCCGGGATACATTTCCATGGTCCTTCTCTGTCGCTGGGGCCTCAGTCCCCTCATATGTCAAATGACCTATTGGTACCTAAGGGAAAGATTATTGTGAGGCCTTAGCTCATAGTAAGTGCTCAACCTATTTTGATGGGACTGTAGTTGGTGGCAATATTTTTATTTATAGAGCTCTCATCCTGTGACTGTGTGAGCCCCCCTCCTGCATCACCTGCTTCACAGCACTGTGCTTTATCTTCTTCGTAGCCGGGTGGCCGCCTGAAACTCTCTGACTTGTGTGCTTCTTTCTCATGGTGTGTCTCCTCTGTGAGACCATCAGCTCCACAGGGCAGGGACCTGGGCCGACTCGTTCACCGCTGTGTCTCCGCTGCCTGGCCCATAGTAGGTGCTCAATATGTAGGTATTCAAGGAATGGGTGAACCATCCATCTCAATATAGTTCGCTGTGGTCTTACTGAGTCCTCAGCAGTTACAGATGGGGAAACTGAGGCTCCCAGCAGTGTAGTTTCTTGCTATAGTGCTTGGCCTCTTTTCCCTGCTCATTCACACAATACCACGGTTTGGTAGCCCCTTCTGGTTGCCAGGAGCTGGGGGGTGGAGGGTGGGGACTGGGGAGTGGGAGAGTGGGGAGGGGGGAGGGAGGAGGGGCTGGGAAGAGGGGGTGGGGTGGGGAGGTACACTGTGATACAGCAGTGGCCACAACAGCTCCAGACCCTGCTGTCCAGGACTTGGTTAGGGCTATTTTATTTATATGACAAACTCAAATATAGCACCTACTGTATGCCAAGTACAGTTTTAGGCATGTTACTCATAACTCATCCTCAGAATCCATCCACTATTGTTATCCCCATCTTATTTATTTAATTTATTATTTTAAAAGATTTATTTATTTATTTATTTATTTATTTATTTATTTGACAGAGAGAGAGAGAGAGACAGCGAGAGAGGGAACACAAGGAGGGGGAGTGGGAGAGGGAGAAGCAGGCTTCCCGCTGAGCAGGGAGCCCGATGCGGGGCTCGATCCCAGGACCCTGGGACCATGACCTGAGCTGAAGGCGGACGCTTAACCAACTGATCCACCCAGGCGTCCCCCCATCTTATTTATTTTTAAGTAATCGCTACCTCCAACGTGGGGCTCAAACTCACAATCCGGAGATCAAAAGTCATTCGCTCTACTGACTGAGCCAGCCAGGCGCCCCATCCCATTTTTGAGATGAGCAAACTGATACACACAGAGAAGCTGAGTTGCTGGCACAAGGTCACACTGCTAGTAGATGACCTTGGGGAGGAATTACACCCAGTGATGAGCCTTCATAGGTAGGAGGGAGAATCAGGGGAATGGTACGCTTCCTATCAGCGACCCAGAAGCCAGGGAGACAGAGTACTGATATCTTCTAACTTTGCAAGAAAAATAACTAGGAACCCAGAATTGGAGATTCCAATTGTGAGGACGAAATGAAAGTATTTTGAGAGGAGCAAGACTCAGAACATGACTATCCAGAATGCTCTCTGAAAGAATTAGAAGTGAATGGACCCTAGCAAGTAGTAAAATAAATTTAGAAGGAAGAAAGTTATAAAAAGTAACAGAATTGTTATGGGTTGACTCCTGTCCTCCAAAAAAGATACGTTGGAGTCCTAACCCCTGGTACTTCAGAATGTGACCTTATTTGGAAATAAGGTCTTTACATAGAGATAATCAAGTTAAAATGAGGTCATTAGCATGGGCCCTAATCCAATATGACTGGTGTCTTTATAAAACAGGGGAGTTTAGACACAGAGACAGACACACACACAGAAAACACCATGCACAGAGAAAAGATGGCCATCTACAAGCCAGGAAACTCGTGAGGCTTCCCGCAGCTAGGAGAGAGGCCTGGAACAGATCCTTCCCTTGTGCATTCGGAGGGAACACAGCCCTGCCAACGCCTTGACTTTGGACCTGTAGCCTCCAGAACGGTGAGACAATTCATTTGTTACTTAAGCCACCCTGTTTTGGGTACTTTGTTACAGCTCTCCTAGGAGACTAATACAAAACTGTATTTATGAATCAATTTTACAAATAAAAATTATTTATAAAAAACTTTTATAGTAGGCTCCTAACAAAAGCTGGAATCATTGAGAGATGGAGACAATCAATATATTCAGGTATATGAAAAAGATGCCTTTTAATTAACCCATCAACTGGGGCGCCTGGGTGGCTCGGTCAGTTAAGCGTCTGCCTTTGGCTCAGGTCATGATCCCAGGGTCCTGGGATCAAGCGCCACCCCCCCCCCACCGTGTTGGGCTCCCTGCTCAGCCAGGAGTCTGCTTCTCCCCCTCCCTCTCCCTCTGCCAGCCACTCCCCCTGTTTGTGCTCTCTCTCTCATGCTCTCTCTCCTATTCAAATAAATAAATAAAATCTTTAAAAAAAATTAAACCATCAATTCATTGAAATTCCAATCTCAATCTCAATAGGATTCTTCCTGGAAGTAGAAAAGCAGCTGCTAAAATCCATCTAGAAGAGAAAAGGTGTAAGAACGGTAAAGACAGATCTGAAACTGAACAGAGGGGGGACTTGCCTGATGGGATCACAGAACGTATCAAAATAAAATCATTAGGGCTCCTGGGTGGCTCAGTTGGTTAAGCGACTGCCTTCGCCTCGGGTCATGATCCTGCAGTCCCGGGATCGAGTCCCACATCGGGCTCCCTGCTCGGCGGGGAGTCTGCTTCTCCCTCTGACCCTACCCCTCTCATGTACTCTCTCTCTCTCTCTCTCTCCTGCTCTCTCTCAAATAAGTAAAATCTTTAAAAAAAAATCATTAAACAGTACAGCATGGAGGCCAGGAACAGATGGAACAGATAAAGAGATGAATAAAACTTAACAGAAATGTCAGAAATAGACCTGTGTATATATGGGAATTTGGTTCATGATAAAGGTGAAATATCAAAATTGGGGATTGATTTTTAAAAAAAAATGGTACAATTGGCTGCATTCATCATAAATTCCTACCATAGTGCATTTTCAAAAATTAAGTCTTATATAGATTAAAGACAAACAAAATCGAGACTCTGAAAGTATTACAAGTAATTACAGGGGCGCCTGGGTGGCTCAGTCGTTAGGCTCTGCCTTCGGCTCCGGTTGTGATACCAGGGTCCTGGGATCGAGCCCTGCGTCAGGCTCCCTGCTCAGCGGGAAGCCTGCTTCTCCCTCTCCCACTCCCCCTGCTTGTGTTCC